AGGGTATCGCCTTGCCAGAACACTTCATCTACAAGCGTGGGTTCTCTGGATATATCCCAGAAAATTACGACCAGCCGAAGAAGCTGCCTCCCAGCATCGCTGCTTTGAGTGCGTTCCTTTTCGGTGTGCTGGGAGCCGCAATGGGAATGGCGCAAGTGTGGTACATTGGTCCCATCGGTAAGCTGATCGGGATCGGGTATGGTGGTGATATTGGATTTGAGCTGGCATTCTCCTTCACTGCCGTCACGTATGTGCCGCTCAGATGGTTGGAGAGGAGATACTTTCACCGGTGAGACATTGACCTGGATGACCAAGCAAAGTAAAGAGTGTTTTGGACCTGGATGGTCAAATGGGATAGAAATCAGAATGTGAGAAGGTTAGAAGGGAAGCAAGCGGAGCGAAAAGCATTTCATTAGTTATTTACATGACATGACATTCACTAAGCCTAACATGGTCTAGCCTCGTAGCTTCCCTTCGTGACGAGGCTGACAGTTGCACATTCTCACATTCCCACATTCCCACATTCCGAACAGTGCCATGATGGTACGAGGTACGGTTATTGCTCCAAGATCCGTCAGTCTCACTGTTCCATGGTTCAATCAGATAGTCACATGTATTAACAGCCATCCTACTATTGTCTATGGAGGTCCACCCGCAGGAAGACGGGAAGTCTAGATAACTGACAACTGATATCTGCTATTCATCGTTTATTGAGCCCCAGTCATACAGACGAGCAAGGCTACAACCTCTTCAAGACCTACTCCTTGACTTCAATGTGCTCGCGCTCAATGATCTCGACGGCGCCCTTCTTGTGGTCGCTTCCCACGGCGTCCTCGTCGCCGGCATTGATCTCCTGTTTCTGCAGGATGTCGTTCTTGACGGCGTTCTTGCCGTCGAAGATGACGCTGACTTCCTCGAGCGTGATCTTGGAGGTCTCGGGGTACGTAAAGTACACGACGACGATGGTGATGATGATGATGATATTGATGACGAGGTAGTATTTCCAGCCAATGTTTTTCAGCGCGACGGGGTTCTGGGTGACGGGAAAATGTTAGCAGAATCTCGAGGAGTGGAGAAAGAAATTCCAATCTTACCAAGTAATTGAAGCCGGTGATGGTCGCTTGGACGAGCAGGTTCTGCGTGCAGATGAGTTTCGGCCGGATGTCGTAGCTCATGACCTCGACCGTGTATCCGGTCAGGATGCCGTTCCAGGTCGTGGCGTAAAAGGCATTGAAGACAAAGATGAATGCAATCACCGCGGGGCCGGCGTCCTTGACCCCATCCTGGACGTACAAAGCGCTGCAGATAGTCCACGGTAAGAATCCGCAAAACAGCATGCCAAAGAGGGAAGTCAACAGCATGGGCCGGCGACCAAACTTGTCAATCACGTATGCGCCCCAGAATGCCCATCCCATGTTCCTGCGAGTCATGTCAGTTGCTAATCACTACCAAAAATCCAAGACACCCGACACTTACCACATCGTGAGGCACCCGTTGATGATCGACTGGTGGCGGGGATTGGTAATGCCGACTCCTGTCAGGATCAAGACGAGGTAATAACCGATGATGGTCTGGCCAGTGGCTTGGCTGAGAATCGAGCAGGTCACAACTATCCAGGTACGGTGGCGATTACCCGGCGTGCGGACTAGGTCGAGCCAGCTTCTGCTACCGTTCTCCTTCTCGAAGGCCAGCGTCTGCACGATCTCATTGTACTCAAAGGTAGCGAGTGGATCGGCCTCATTGCCACCGCAGTGCCAGTCGACCAGAGTCTTGAATGCTTCTTCGTTCCGACCTCGTGAGCAGAGCCAGCGTGGACTCTCAGGTACCCACCAGGTAAGGGTGACGGAGATCAGAGATGGGAACATCTGAATCAATGAGACACTGCGCCAGCTCCAGTCACTCTGAATGGACAGGGTTCCGAGCGTGATCCAAGCTGCAATGGCGGCACCTGGAGAATCAATGTCAGCAACGTGCCAGAACCTCCATCCACGAGATCCTCACCGAAGTAATACAGAGTATTGAGTAGCGTGGACAACTGAGCACGGTGGGTTGGGTGCGCAAGCTCCGAGACGAGCATGGGAGCGGCCGTGTATTCGAAACTGAGTCCTAGACCGATGACACAGCGCGCGACTGCGAACATGGCGATCCCTCGCGCGAACGACTGTAGAAAGACGCCTACGATGATGATTACCGCTCCAGATATGATGATCAATTTGCGACCGATCTTCTCGACGAGCCACCAAAGAAAGAACTGCGAAATGACACCGCCGAGACCTTGAGTACCGTTGAAGATACCAAGCTGGGCGCCTGTCGGGTGGTTGAAATAGGATTGCTGTCCTCACATAGTCAGTAATTGCAAACATGAAGTTGGGCAGGTGTCGCATGATCACCACCAAAGGATCCTTTGGCGAAACATACCCAGAAGGTCAACGTCTGCATTCCATTCATGATGGAGCCGTCAAGGCCATTCGTGGCCTGCACGATGAGCACCACGCAGAGCCAGCCATAGAGCTTCCGCAAATGCTTGTACTTGTACCATGGTTTGTCCAACAGTTTCTGCACATTAATGGTCGTATCCCCTCGCTTCGTACCGACGACAATTTGATTCTCTTGAGGAGCCATGCTTGACTTGGGGAGCGCTCTCAGTGAACTTGCGAGAGAAACTGAGATCTAGGAGGACGGTAATCACCTCGGGGCATTCTACCACGACCTTCTTGCATACATATGAAGTATTTGGAACGGCCAATAGATGATCTCCCCACATCTCGAACTGCCGCGTCCGGAGAGTCTCCGCAGAAGTACGGGGGGTAATTGCAACAGCCTAGGACACATTTGCGGACGGTATTTAGGCTAAAGCGCTTGCATGGCATGATATACGGTGCGTAAGGAAAGGCGGTAGTGTTCTTAGGCTTTCGAAGAAGAGGTCTCTGACGGTCGAGGCACCATACACCGTCGGGGATAGACGGGATGGGCCGACGGCGAGGGTCAGTCAACTTATACCGTAGCGCTGCCCGAACAGCGTTAGAAAATGCTTGGGTGAAAGTCAAGAGGCGTTAAGAGGCTGAAAGGACCAAAGGTGCGGAACGAAGACCTACCTGCAATAGATAGAGGCAAAAAAACACCCCCATTGACCTCGTCTGGTATGCCGGCCGTTCTCATAGCGAAGCGAAGCAGAAGACCGAGACACGTGAACGGGAACTTGTGCAATCCGGGGAAACGAGGATTTTGCCGGCTCGACCACCTTCAGGCCTTCGGAGTGAGCCAGGCTCCACAAACCCATTCCCCCGCGCGGACATTTCATGGAGTTGGTAGGGCCAGGGGCTGTTAACCCAGAGGTACAGCGAGGTCAGCCAGCCTTTAGCCTGAAGACACGAGCCCTTTGTCAAGTCTTCTGACGGACAAGTTGCTAGTCTGGAAACAGCGAAACCCACTTCGGGTTTCGCCTTGGATAAATGCCAACAGTAGCCTACCGAGGGTTTGTTGTGGACAATGACCACCAGGTCGACGCCGCTCCCTGATTTCTCGGTTAGACAGGGCATTCAGCTCCCTCAAGAGGCAATGCGAGGCGTTGAGGCAAGCGACAACCACATGGCGACACGCATTTTAGCCTCGCACCAGTGTCGTAGGGAAATATCTCCTGATTGCACATTTGGGCTTGCAGGGCCTGGGTAAGCCATGCCGAACGTATCTTCCGGGAATAGGCCCAGGGCGATAACCTGGCTCGCATCCCAAATGATATGCAGGGAACTTCCTAGATTGTTGGTGCATGAGCACCCCGCAGCCTTTGTGCGCGAGCTGACCCGAAGGAGTAGTCTGGTTTTGGAGAGACAGTGTCATGCTGAAGGCGACTCAATGCACGGGATGTTGTCTGCTTTCGTCAAATTTGAGTGCAACAGCATGAGGGCCATTTGCTTACCCCTCTTCTTGAACTTCTGTACTCGCCCCCAAGTAGTTATATGTCTCGAGTTAGAACGGTCCTATCAACGAATGCCCAAAAGATGGAGAGAGGTCTCGATACTCTGGATCGTATTGCCATCAATACACCGTTCCCTGTCATGTCACCATCCGCAAACGCATCTGATGGACACAGTCTCGCGACTTCGAGTCAGGTGCGCCTAGTGGAGCAAGCCATATACAGGGCTGTAACTTGCCTACCCCAAGTGAAGCCGATAATTCTGGCACCAACAAGCTTTGATGAACCCAGGAGGTCGAGGTTTCTAGTCAGGGTTTATCTTTTCTGTGTGAGTGGTAACTTCGTCTTCGATCCATGAACCAGTCTGGCCAGAGAGCAGCCTCTTCATGCTAGTAAGCATTCTACTCTTCAGCAGATCCAATATTTCATCGTCACTTCTCTTGCCGTCCTGCCCTGGTCTGCTCCGATGCTCATGGAGACTTCGCTGGTGATGATCTCCTCAGTCTCTGGGAAGAAGTTCTGCACACTCTCTACTGAACGGTGATGGATTCTCTGGATGTTCTGGTCCTCGAGGTTGGGCCTTGAACAAGTGAGCCCGTTTCTTGTAAGAACGTCACATGCCTGCAACTCGACCACTCCTGAAAGAGCATTTAAATGTACCGTCTGAGCAGTGTGCCTTTCCTGCAACTGATTTAGATCAGCCACAAAGTGCCCTCTCTCAGCGTTGGGAATCAACACGCCAGAAGAGAACCGAATTTGCGAGGAAGATAAGGGCGATGATCCGGCGCAGAGTACCTGGCGAGCTGGTTCCTGAACCTGATGTTGTTGGGAGTCAAGGAGACTTTCGTCCGGGCTTGTCGGCTGCGCCATGATTGGCTGAACCGCGAACCTCAATTGAGGCTGCGGACCTTCGCAGATTATCTGGCATCACAACGCAGGGGGAATAATTCCTACCAGTTGTTTCGCCCTCTACATAGCGAACTACTCCATTCACTCGTTGTTTCTTCGAAGCAAGGCCGTCGTCACTTTTCTTGACTCTGTTCTCGTGCATTCCATCTTGTTAATCTCACCCTCACCGCTACTAAACATGGACTTCGAAAGTCTGAAGAACCAGGTTAGCAATTTGACCCTCTACGACCTCAAAGCTGGGGTCCGAAAGGTTCAAAATGGTAAGTCGATCTCCCTAGTTTAAAGAAAGATTGCTGACATTGACGAAGCCGTCATGAACTTGACCGAGATGGAGGCCAAGGTGAGTCACTTCCCCCTTTCAATCCACTGCTCCAGCATGTATCTTACTTTCCCATCAGGTTCGAGAAGCCACAAACGGAGATCCATGGGGCGCATCGGCAAGTCTTATGCAAGAAATCGCCCAGGGTACACACAATTAGTCCGTCGCGTCCTCGACGGTTTGGAACCACAAGCTGATTGTCGCAGCCAACAATTGAACGAAATCATGCCCATGATCTATAAACGATTCACAGACAAGACTGCGGAAGAGTGGAGGCAGATATACAAGGTACGGGCTCAAGACTCCCTCGAGATATCGTTGTGCTCACTGTTGGGTTAGGCCTTGCAACTCCTCGAGTTTCTCTGCAAAAATGGGTCGGAGCGAGTTATCGATGATGCCCGATCACACCTGTCCCTCCTCCGAATGCTCCGCCAGTTCCATTATATTGATCAAAATGGCAAAGACCAGGGTGTGAATGTCCGGAACCGATCTGCAGAGTTGGTAAAACTCCTGAGTGATGTCGATACCATCAGATCAGAGCGAAAGAAAGCACGCGCAAACCGCAACAAATACGGAGGAGTAGAAGGTGGAATGGGAATGGGTGGCGGCTTCTCGAGCGGAAGTCGATATGGTGGCTTCGGCAGCGAGACTGGGGGATTCGGAGGCTATCAGGGCGAGGTTTACGGCGATGGTGGAGGTTTTGGCGGTCGCGAAACCGACTTTTCGGGCACTCAGCGCCGTGGCGACCAGTTTGAGGAGTATGACGAGGCCGACGATTTCGAGACCTCAAGACCGACAAGAAGCACGGCCAGCCGAACAACGGCGCCGACGACTACTGCAAAACGAGATCCGCCTAAGCCGAAGGAACCGGAACAAGATCTCTTTGATTTCGGCGACGATCAAAGTGCGACGAAGCAATCAAGCGGCAAAGCGCCAGCAGCTCAGTCGGGTGGTCTGGATGATTTTGGCGGCCTACAAAGCAGCACAGCAAATGACGACGACGATTTTGATGACTTTCAATCCGCTACCAGTCCAGCGGCGATACAGCCAGTTGCAAATCCTCTGGCTGGGATTGCTCCTCCACCAACCACCTCAACTACAACCTCAGCCACGCAGTTTGCGGCTCCAAAGCCAGTGGCTCCAGGACAAGCCGCTGGCCTCAACAACATCTTCACAACTACATCCCCAGCACCATCGACGACTTCTTCGATAATGTCACCGACGACATCAACGTTTTCACCACCACCTGCACAGAAACCTGTTCAGCCTTTACAACCTACCGGGTTCAAACCCTCTGGACCGAACTATTTCACATCAGTCCCCGTGTCGATAAACTCACAGTCCACTGCCACATCTAATGCCTCAACGCCTCTGGGCGGGGCCACCCCTTCATACACATCCTCTACGTCTGCGGCATCACTCGGCAAGCCCACTTCCAAACCTGCTGCAGGTAAAGGTGGTGATGCCTTTGGAGATCTCTGGAGTACTGCAAGCACCAAAGCAGGAGTCAAGGGAACTACTGGGCCGCAGAAGGGTCCAGATCTAGCGAGTATGGCCAAAGCAAAGAGCCAAGCGGGAATCTGGGGAGCGGCATCAGCAGCGAGCTCGACAACCCCAAGGCCTGGAGGGATGGCTTCGAGCACTAACACCGCCTCGGGACCAGCCAAACCAAGCACACCTTTGGGCAACGGCTTGGATGATTTGCTGGGGTAGACGAATATGAGAAATCCTTGAATTTGCCGTAACCATGAAAAGAGACATTCGCAGCTCCAGCAACACAGGCCCTTGTGAGATTTGCATAATGAAAGAAATCATAATTGCTTTTGTTTGTCGCGGCCTCGTGAAAATCTAGGGTCTCTGATCATAATCGAACTCCTTACATGTCTTTCCAGTCGGTAGGCTCGGGTGCTTGTCTATATGGGGTGATTATACTACAGGCGGCGACGACCAATGATGATGGCGACAGGCAATGCGAGTGAGACGGGATCGAGGAATCACGGAGTGCGATCCGATCCCTGAACGGATTTGTGGTGATGATACATAAGAGGATGGCAAGATCGAGCCGGGGACGCGCTCTCCAGGGTGGCTGGGCGGTATCCGATGAAGGATGATGGATGATGGGGTGTGTGCCATTCGGACCCTTTGAACCAGATAGAAGATTGCCATCGCATTATCCTCGCCCCTATTGTATATTCATAAGACTGTTCTTTTCATCCTCACTGATACCTATGTAGGTGTTGTCCATCTTTGTATAGACAAGAAACCCCACCGCCCCAACGAAATAACTTGGATCTGCCTTCATCGGAGGAATACTACAGGTGCACAGTGGAAACGAAGCTTGAACTCCTCCGACCCTTTGAGTCCCCCGCCGCTAAAGCCTTCCCGCTGCTGCCTTCGTCATTGTGCATACCCTCGACTCTGTGGTTGATCGACCTTGTCGCAATCGATTGCGGCCGCAGGCTCACCAATCATCACAAGGAATGGCGGGGTGAAAGATGAACTCCCTCCCCCAGCAACGCAGGGAGCCATCGACTAACTCGTCTTTGCCCATCCATCGGGTAAGGTAAGTGGCTTTCCAACCCTGCATCTAACTTTCTCTCCATTTCCCGTTTCCTCATCATCTTCTCTCGCCCCCGCTGCAAATGCTAATATGACAGAAAGACCTGTCCACAAGCGCTCCAAGAGTGCAAGAGTCCTCAACCTTCTCCGCAACGATAATCCTCCTCGAGAAAACGGTTCAGATCCAGAGTCGCCAGTAACGACGACGACCTCCCTCACCGGCCCTTTCTCCTCGACGGCTCCCTTGACTCCGGGTGATGGTCCGCGGTTGAGTCCACTGTCTCCGACTACCACGAGAAACTCTCAGCTAGCCATGGATTCGAGCGAGTACTCTAGGGAATCAGATTCGTCCCACCACATGCACCACGTCCCATCAGGCGTCTCTTCTAGCCAGGGCACCTCGATTGAGGACTCTGTTCGTACCTTTCGAGTCTTTGAAGTTCTCCGCGGCAAGGACGCTGCCGCGATCTCCAAAGCCATCGGTGAATCTATACCCTCCTCTTCCAATCCGCAGCCCATTCCCGGCACTACAATACTCCACCTAGCCATCCAGTGCGCAGAACCTCAGGTGGTAGAACAGGTTTTGAGGGAAGGAAAAGGTCTCGATGTCAATGCGCAGGATAAAGAGGGAAATACAGCTTTACATCTGGCGGCACAGCTTGGCCGCGCCCCTATTGTTCGAGACCTGCTCGAAGTATCCAGTATAAACGATGCCCTTCCAAATCGGCAAGGAAAACTCCCCATAGATCTCGCTCGGACCCCAGACATCTTTCAACAGCTCCAATTAGCGCGTTCTATCTTCCTGGATGACAAGATCAAGGAGATACATGCTGCGTTGCTCCAAAATGACTACAAGAAGTTCGAGGCCATCCTCACAGAGCCTCGAGTCGAGGGGACGCTCGACGTTAATGCGCTGGAGTTACCAACTGAGCCTATAACGGTTCAGACCGGCGGGACGCTCCTGCATGAAGCTGCACGGAAAAAAGATATCCAGTTGGCGCAGATCTTATTGTTGCACGGAGCAGACCCATTCCGCAGAGACCGAAAAGGGAGGCTCCCACAGCATGTAACCCAAGACGACCGGACCAAAGCCATCTTGAAGAAGTCCCCCGCAGCCGCCGCTGCTCAGCGAGGAATACAGGAGAAAGCAATTCTGGGGAACAACCCATCGCAGGCGAGGTCTGGAGCTGGCCTCAGTGATGCAAGCAAAGACGCTCGAGAAATGAAGGGTTATCTCAAGAAGTGGACAAATTACACGAGTGGATATAAACTGCGATGGTTTGTTCTTGAAGAAGGAGTTCTCAGCTATTACAAGCATCAAGATGACGCTGGGTCTGCCTGTCGAGGAGCTATCAACATGCGCATCGCCAAATTGCACATGGATCCACAGGACAAGACGAGATTCGAGATCCATGGCAAGTCCTCGGTCAAGTACCATTTGAAGGCCAACCATGTCGTAGAGGCCAAAAGATGGTTCTGGGCGCTCAACAATGCCATCCAGTACACAAAGGATGAAGCAAAAGAAGAAGAGAAAAGGCGTACCCTTGACACAGAAAGCCTTCGACATGCCCGTACCGATACATCCGACACTCTGAGCGCGACGGCCAGCCGATCGAAACAGCCAACCCAGTCGCTGGGGGTGGCAGGAAGCTCATCCAAGGTAAGTTTCCGTTCTGATGTGGAAGGTGGCTCAGCATACGATTCGTACGACGCGAGTCTTCAAGGCGAAGACCTTCAGAAAGTGCCTACCAATCCGGCGACCAATATCGACGCGGATGAGGATATCGATGGTGATGACGCTAGCAGTCGTGAAGTACACCAGCCAGGAAGTAAAGATGCATTCAATATCACTGCACAGTCTGCCAAGCTGCAACTCGACCTTCTGGCGCGAGTTTCCGACGCGTTGATTGCCCGGCAAACATCGCGAGCTGATACGACACTATCCGATCCAGATGTCGCACAAGCGCTACTCACCTATCAAACGGCCGTGAACAGCCTCAATGGCCTGGTTGCAGACCTGTTGAAGATTGCTCGAGACCGTGACGCTTATTGGCAATATCGGTTAGATCGAGACGCAGATGCTCGGAGGATGTGGGAAGAAAGCATGGCTAAGATCGCTTATGAGCACGAAGATCTCAAGAGGTCGATCGCAGAGTCGGAAGACAAGCGCAAGCGCACGAAACGGGCCTTGAAGGAGGCTCTTGAGGGACAATCAGTGCCCGCAAGCCGTCCAGGGTCAATGTTCCAACAAGAGACGCTGGAACACATCCAGTTTACGGAAGCGGTAGAGAACCAACTGGACATTCGAGCAGAAGCTCAAATCTCAACGAGAGCGCGTCGGAAATCTGTCACCAGAGATGGTAACAGAAGAAAATCCATCATCGCGCAACTCACAAATCTTTCCGATTCCGAATCTGGAGATGATGAAGAATTCTTCGACGCAATTGATGAAGGCAAGGTCGAGGTGGTCGAACCGCTTCTTCTCAGTCCGCCGCCAGTGCATGTCCCATCATCCTTGGAAAAAGAACAAGAGCCTTTTGTCGACGAAAGAGCCAGAAAGCAGATGGAAATTGAGCCATCTTACGCAGGATATGAAGATGGTGTCCGTGAACGACTGAAACTGGATGCCGATAACCGTCCGAAGATTTCGCTTTGGGGTATTCTCAAGTCTATGATAGGCAAGGATATGACCAAGATGACGCTGCCGGTGTCTTTCAACGAGCCAACCTCCCTTCTACAGCGCGTTGCTGAAGATATGGAATATGCCGATCTCCTCGACATTGCAGCAGATCGCCCGGACGCCACTGAGCGTCTTGTGTATGTGGCCGCGTTCGCTGCCTCGGAATACGCCAGCACAATTGGGCGCGTCGCGAAGCCCTTCAACCCCTTGCTCGGGGAAACGTATGAATACGTCCGGCCCGACAAAGGATATCGATTCTTCATCGAACAAGTCAGCCATCATCCCCCAATTGGCGCTGCGTATGCGGAGTCTGCACGATGGGACTACTGGGGCGAATCAGCCGTGAAATCAAAATTCTACGGCAAGTCATTCGACATCAATCCATTGGGAACATGGTTCCTGCGCCTCCGCCCTTCAAACGGGGATCCGCCCGAGCTATACACCTGGAAGAAGGTTACAAGTTCCGTCGTGGGCATTATTACTGGAAACCCCACAGTGGACAATTATGGCACCATGGAGATCAAGAATTGGACAACGGGTGAAGTCTGCGTTCTTGACTTCAAACAACGCGGATGGAAGGCCAGTTCTGCATATCAAGTGTTTGGCAAAGTCATGGACGTTGACGGTGTCACGAAATGGAGTATCGGCGGAAGGTGGAACGACAAGATTTACGCTCGAGTCACAGAGGGATTCGAGGACCAAGCAGTAGGGGAAGGTCGGTTACACTCCGGCATGGGCAAAGGCACTCAATCCGACAGACAGCAGGCCTTCCTCGTTTGGGAAGCACATCCACGTCCTCAGGGAATTCCTTTCAATCTCACCCCCTTTGTCGTCACTTTGAATGCGGTCAGCGACTCACTGCGTCCACACCTCCCGCCTACCGACACGCGCCTGCGTCCCGATCAACGCGCCATGGAGGATGGGGAGTACGATTTCGCGGCAACGGAGAAGAATCGTGTGGAGGAGAAACAGCGTGCAGCCCGTCGTCGGCGTGAGAATTTGGGTGAAGAGTGGAAACCCAAATGGTTTGAGAAGAAGGTCGACCCCATTACCGGGGAAACCTATTGGGAGCACAACGGACTGTACTGGAGGAAGAGGGCGGAGAAGGACTGGACAGTTTGTGACGACATCTTTTAGAGCCAGAATGAGGAAGAATGGTAGCAGCGGAATGAAAGGAGAGGAAACAGTTCTACGACGAGGGGAGATTGAGATTTCATCTTCGAGGAAGGGCACAGCCAGCGGTGAGCGGAGGCGACATGAAACAATCACACGACGACTTCTTAGCACTTTGGAACTCGGCCACAGCAACAGAAATGCCTCTTGTCCGTACAGAAGGACGTTTACCTTTTGGTCCATTCTCTTGGCCTTGACTCGCACTGGCGACGATAGACTTCTGGCCTGTCGCCATTCAGTTCCAGCCTATTCATATATCAATGGACTGTATTTATATACCAGTTGTCTGTACCCGTAATGG